TGGCAATTGGACACCCCCCGAGGGGTCCCAGATTGGAGAGGGTGCAGGCTGGGCTGACGGCCACCGCCCCCCCCCCAGTGCATGAATTTCGTGCACGGGGCCTCTAGTTTATATAATAAACCGCCTTGGAAAATAAAGGCAGTATCTCCATCCTTGGCCAGCAGGGGAAGGCAGTTGGGGGCAACCAGGCTTGCAGGGAGGGCAGTTGGGGGCAACTGGACCGGCAGGGGGGCAGTTAGGCATTGATCAGGCTGGCAGGAAAGTGATTAGGGGGTGAGCAGGCTGGCAGGCAGAAGCAGTTAGGGGCAATCAGGTAGGCAGGCAGGCAAGTGATTAGGAGCCAGCCGTCCCAGATTGTGAGAGGGATGTCCGACTGCCGGCTTAGGCCCGATCCCACAGTTGGACATCCCCCGAGGGGTCCTGGGTTGGAGAAGGTGCAGACTGGACCCCCCAGTGCACTGGGCCTGTAGTTAAATGTATAAAAAGAAAATGTATCCTTGCTGCTCCTCCTACTCTAGGCCCAATGCAGGCAGCACCATCCATAATGGGGCCTCTTCCCCTGCTCAGCCTCTGACCCTTCTCAATCCAACACTCCTGGCAGGTACCAGTGCTCGGAGGGGACAGGACACCAGTCTGCCATTCCTGACCTTTCCCACGGGCTCCGTGAACAGGCTTTGATTTGGTTTCCTGGCTCGGAACTTCGTGTCTTTCCAGGACGATTCTGAGCTTCAGACCCGGCATCATGCACCACCGCCTACTGTGTGTAAGCTCCCACTCAAGCCACGCCTCCCGCCCAGGAAAACCCTGCTCAACAGGGAAGGGCCGGGCAGCTGCAGTGTGTAGGAGCATATTCATGCGAGGAGGCCAGACAGCCAGAACCCTGAGAGAAAGCCCGTTGGAATAGTGGGTGTTGCTGCCTGAACACATTGCTTCGGGGGATCTGAGTCCTAACTGTCAGCCCGAATCACCACCAAGGGCAGTGACCTCTGACCTTTCAATACTTTTCTCTTCGAGAGGAGCAGCAAATTCCTACAGCCATCCCACTGTGGTTGCTCTCCACCAGCTGCAGAGGCGCTGTGCGCTCCCTTCCCTCCCTCTGTAAGGAAGAACACCGCCTTTTCTGTACTAGTATGTTTCCCCTTGCAAACCTTCAGTCTCAGGAGCAGAGTGATCAATCTTGTTGTCAACACTAATAGGCCTCATAAAATTCAAAGTAAAGGTTACCTCTGACAGTTTTCTCACCCATAAAACGGGGGGTTTAGACCAGGTAATCTATAAGTGTCTTTCCAACTCTTAGGTCTAGTGACTTTATGGCTTCAGTCAACAATATAAAACAAGAGTGGGAAGCAGAAGACTTCCTCTAAAACTTAACAGGTTCTGGAGAAAGAGAGCTGACTTGAAAAGCTAAAAGCCAAAATGAACTCTGAATTGGAATAGGCTAATGGAGAACATGCTTGTAAAATGCATCACCACCCATGCCTTCCAGTTGGCTCTGGATAATTTCCAGACAGTGTATCTGACTGATAAGTATCTTTCTTCTTTAATGCACTTCTGTTTGTTCTATTTGCCAAAGGTTGGAAGAAAACCAAGCCAAGAGCTAGAGGCCAGAAGTTCTGCACTCCTGCGTTACACTTCCAGGCCCTGGGTTTTACATTTTTCTACTGTATTTCGAGGCAAATAAGTGTAATTTTGCTTCTCTGTCCTCTGTCACTGTGAAACACCACATCCCATCGGAATAGAGGATGAAGTTACCTTTGGCAAACTTGCTAAAACCTTTCCAGAACTTGAGCATTATGGCAGGAGTTGCCTCAGTTAGTGGAGGTTCAGAATGCAGCCTGCACAAGAGCTCCTTGTTCCTGGAGTGTGAGCACTCCCTGAATTGAGAGATACAAGAGCTCTCGCATGGAGAAAGTGATGGCAGTAAAAATTCAAATGAAGAAGCCATAGGCAAGAAAAGCTTGTCTTGCCCTGACTGGTTTGGCTCAGTGGATAGAGCGTCGGCCTGCGGACTGAAGCGTCCCAGGTTCAATTCCAGTCAAGGACATGTACCTTGGTTGCAGGCACATCCCCAGTGGGGGTTGTGCAGGAGGCAGCTGATGGATGTATCTCTCTCATCAATGTTTCTAGCTTTTTATCCCTCTCCCTTCCTCTCTGTAAAAAATCAATAAAATATATTAAAAAAAGAAAAGAAAAGCTTGTCTTAAGTTTGCCACAGAATTTGGGACACCCTTTTGGAATCCATGACATTCAGATGGGAAGGGAAGCCTCCGGGAAGGGTGAGGCGGCTTAGGGAGAACAAGTGTGTGCAGGGAGAGAACTCAGGATAGAAGGCCAGTGGGGCGGGTGCCATGTTGGTTCTGTTCCTAAAATGTGTGTTTTTCCAGTCTTGTCATGCCCTCACACACCTCCATTTGGGCTGGTGAAGTATTGCATTTCTTCATTCAGTTTCTGAGTCATCCATTTTTTCACAGCCTCATTTGCTCATTCACTCAAAAAACATTTACCAATCACCTACCATGTGCTGAGTATTGTCTCAGATATTAGTTTAGGTGGATGAATAGAACATGGCCCCTGCCCAGCCCAGATCACAGTCTAGGTTGGGGAAGTGGATAACTACACAGGCAGATGTCCCTCCGCATGGCCCATGCTGTTAGGGTGAACAGATTCTATGATGGGAACACAGTAGAGGGGCAGCTAAGCCACCTTGGGGAGGGGACAGAGTGAGCTTTTCAAAGGAGGGCTTTCCTAAGTGTCCCGAGGGTGTGGTATTATTGATGGGTGAAGAGCAGGAAGGGATAGAGGCGAAGGGCATTCTAGGCTCAGGGGGCAGCTTTCATAATGGCTTGGAGACAAGGAAGAGTATGTGCTGCTTGCATTTATCTACAAACAAGGGGCACAGTGCATGAATTCATGCATCTTGAAAGTAACTGTGGGCTGCAAGGCTGCAGTAGGCGCAGGGGTGGGTCTCAGCACATCCTCTGCATCCCCGTCTGGCCCCTCCCACTTTGGCCTCCTCTTCTCCCTCACTCCCCATCCCCCACTTGCACCTGCTGCTGGTGCGGGCCCCAGTCGCTCTGCACTGTCAGCATGTGTGAGCAGCGGCTGCTGCTCCAATTGCCCTTCAGGAGCAGAGGGAGGTGGAGAAGCTCTCAGGTGTGATTGGGGCCAGCAGCTGCTGCTCACACCTGCTGATGGCATGAGTGATCAGGACCAGTTCCAGGCACTGGCAACGGGTGCAAGCGGGGCCGGCGCTGACAGTGGGTGCAAGCGCCAGGCAGGACCGCAGAGCATGGGAGCAAAGAATTTCAGTAACCACCAGAGGCTCAACCTGATGGCAGCGACCGGTGCCCTGCCTTGCTCTGGCACCCCTGTTCACCTGCTCCACCATCCCATGTGACCATGTTCTGTGTACACCCCCTGGTAGCCAGTGTATGTCATAGCGACCGGTTGTTCTAGTTGTTCTGCTGTTTGGTCTATTTGCATATTAGCCTTTTATTATATAGGACTAGAGGCCTGGTGCACAAAAATTTGTGCACTTAGAGGCTCCCTCAGCCCAGCTTATACCCTCTTGCAGTCTAGGACCCCTCGGAGGATGTCCACCTGCTGGCTTAGGCCTGCTCCCGGGTGTGGGGGTCCCACTGGGGTGCCTGGCCAGCCTGGGTGAAGGGCTGATGGTTGTTTGTAGGTTGGTCAAACCGCCTTCAGGGTGGGGGCCCCAACTGGGGTGCCTGGCCAGTCTGGGTGAGGGGCTGAGGGCCATTTTCAGGCTGGCCAAGGCCCCCAGCAATGGAAGCTCCCAGCCTCTCATTTTTTTTTCTTTTTTTTTATTCTGGGATTTATTTACCTTCTATAATTGAAACTTTGTAGCCTTGAGAGGAGCTCAGAGCCAGCCAGGGCGGGCAGGAGAGAAGCTTGGCTTCCTCCATCGCCAGGGGCAACCCATGCCTCCTGCTTACTTCAGCTCCGTGGCTACGGCCGGCTGAAAGCAGGTATCTGGGGTTTATTTACCTTCTATAATTGAACCTTTGTTGCTTTGAGTGGAGCTCAGAGCCTCCGCAGCAGGCGGGAAGCTTGGCTTCCTCCATCATTGGGGCAACCAAGCTTCCTGCTTGCTCCAGCTCTGTGGCTGCTGGCCGCCAACGTGGTTGGGTTAATTTGCATATAGTTTCTCTGATTGGCTGGTTGGCGTGGCTTAAGGCATAGCGAAGGTACCGTCAATTTGCATGTTTGTCTTTTATTAGTGTAGATGGTTCAGAGTGCTCAGCTAATGAACTGGCAACAAACTTCCTGGAGGCTGGGCCCTCATCTTCACTCAATTATCTACTGAGCAGCTCCTGCAAAGAAATTGGTTTGCTTGGGTTGCCATCAAAATTATTTCATTTGGTTTCTTTTAACTCTGTATGTTGGGTTTGATGAAATGTTCCCTCTATAGAAGAAATGTGTGGATTTTTGGACCAGAGAGTAATCTGAAGAAATTGCATAATATTGGACAAGATGGCCAGCTTGGTGAAGGGACTGAAGGGAGATACCCTCAGGGGAATCTGGCAGCCATCAGAGCCCTTCTGAATGGCACAGGCACCGAGAGAAGGGCAGCAGTGGCAGTGGAGCATCTGCTTTGGATCAGACACAGGGAAAATGCTATAGACAGTTACCTCATTTCCTCACAACAGCCTGAGTCCGTGTTACTACACCTTTACAGATGAAGCAGAGGTGTGGAGTTTGTCAAAGCCACTTGCCCTGCATTATTTTGAGAGGATTGTTATGATTTTCTCAACTTGAGCAGAGACTAAGTCATTCATGTTGGGGGAGGAAACAGCTCAGCTGGGTATCTGGCAGCTCAGCAGAGCTCACATGAGCTGGAAGATGTGAGTAGTGGTGTTCATATTCATAGAGCAGGAAGGTCAGGAGAGTAGCGGACTTTAGTACATAGTCTCATTCATTCAATTTATTCTTCAATTGGTATCTGAATTAATATAAATTTATTCCATTTATTCAATTAAAGATTCTGCTAGATATGCAGTAGCAAAGCAAACCAAAAAGAGACAGATCTTACATTCTAGTAACAAGTTAAGTAAGTTTATTCTATAGTAGGGTAGTGGTGGTAAGCTTTAAGGAGACAAATAAAGGAAGGAAAAGAATGCCAAAATGAAGGAGGGACAAGGAAGGAGCATTTGAGTAACGAACTGAGGAGACTGAAGGAGTGAACTGTGAGGATAGCTGGTGGAAGCATTTCTGGCAGGGGGATAGCAAGTGCAGGCTGTGAGAACCAGCCCAGAGCCCTTGTGGTGGAGCAGAGTGACCAAGGGGCTCACTGGGGAGAGGAAAGACAGGAGCACTTAGGAGACACCATGAGAGGCCTTAAAGGCTATCATGAGGACTTCAGCTTCCCCTCAAAGTAGAATCGAAAGGCTTTGGAAGGCTTTGAGCAGAGCGACATCACCTGACTTTCATTATAGTAATATGTGACTGACTTCTATATTGGGAGCCCATAATCTGAATGGGGCAAGGGCAAGGCAGTGCAATAATCCAGGTGAAATTGATGGTGACTTGGATGGGGTCAGGGGAAGGGCGCAGTGGAGGTGGTGAAAGTGGTCAGATCTCAGTATATTTGGAAAGTTGAACCAACAGGAATTGTTGACAGATTGGATGTGGAGTGTGAGAGGAAAAGTCAAGGATGACCCCAAAGTCCAGGCCTGGGAAACTGGAGGTGCTTTAATGGAGGGAGGAATGAAGATTCGAGCAGGTTTGGGGAGGAATATCAGGGTCTCAAATTTTGACCTGTTAAGCTTGCGGCAGAGATCGGGGGGAACATGAAGATGAGGCAGCTCCACAGAAGCCAAGAGCAGGAGGAATGTGTGGAATACAGAAAGGTCAGGGAAGATGAGCATGGAGGGAAGGTCATCGGCTTTGATAATAAAATGGTTCTGTGGTCAGAGAAGAGGCATACTGTGTGCTTTGTGGATTTTCACCCAGCCCCATGCTCCCCTGAATTATGTGTGGGGTTCTTTGGGCCAGTTTCTTTTTTCTGTTCTCCTTCCCAGCTCTTTTCGGCCCAGTGCTGCCATGCCTATCCACGCCTCCAATACTGGCTTTGAAGCCTGTTTAATTTAATGGTCACTCCAGGGATCTCTTGGAAACTGGTGGGAGGGTGCCCTGTCTCCTGTATGGTATTTTTATGTTCATTTTTATGGGGCATTTATTTTTCCTGCTAAAAATATCCTGTGCCTTTCTGGAGGTAGGGAGTGGGGAGGTGGAGCGGAAAAACTATTTCAGCATCTCGCTTACAAAGCTGCTCAGTGGACTGGAGCCCTTGCCTACTTCAGGTTTCAGCATCGGCTTTCACGCCCATTTTTGGCGTCCTCACTAACATGTTCCAGCCCAGGCCCTTCCTGTTTTAATGAAAGGAAAGCAGTGCAGTCCCACCCACTCATCTTAGAAATCCCTCAGTACTGACCGGTCGTTTCCATTTCAGTAGGTGGCACGAAACTGAGTTCACAGAGCACAGAAAGTCCGAACATCTGTTTCTATGGGTCTGCATGACGTCATCTGTCCTAAAACAGCACCACCCCTGCCCCCCTACCATCACACACACATAGGGCCAAGGTTCTAAATTTGGAAGGGAAACAACAGAAAGGGAATTCCTACTGGGGCAAGGTTCTGTATTGTGGAGGGGCACACAAGTCTGGCTCCTGTGAACGGACTGATTGAACTAGGTAGGCTCGGGGAGGGGGGTTAATCTCTCATAGCGTCCCTAAACTCTGTCCTTTGAAAAAAGAAAAGAAAGGTAAACCAGGCTAAGTCATTCCTGTGTGAAATGGGGTTGGGGATTAGGCTTTCCATGGGTCTAACAGAAATTGAATCATTCCCATTGCATAGATTCAAGGCTGACTTTAAGGTGGTTGAGTTCATATATCACAGGATATTTGAGAAACTGTCTAATGAAAATTTCCCTATGACCTAGCCTGAGCTGGGGGAACAGCTCACTTCAGAAAGGCAAAAATAAGTAAATACTGTCCTGACTGAGGAAGGTGGAGCATGAAGGGAGGACGCTGTGGGAAGGTGACTTTCTACACTCAGGAGGAAGGGCTGCTGCCTCCAGGGCGAGGTGTGCTGTGAGGCCTCCACGCTGATGAACTTTGGCTTGGGGAAGGGTGAGAAAGGGACAGTTTGTGAACAACATTTAGCACTTCAGGTTGGCCTGTGTTAGAGCCCAGTTCAGCAAGGAGCCGCCGTGCGGCTCTGGGAGGAGGTGTGAAGGGGCAGAGCATGGCCTTTGTGCTGTTTTGCCAACTTGGAGCTAGAATCTTGATGGCAGCGGCACATGGGGTCTTCCTGGCAGAAAAATATATTCACGTCCACGTCTGGAGGAGTGCTTTAAGCTCAGGACTCTTAAGAAGAAAGCAAAGGATGTTGATAATATATGGACCTATACTTTTTTTTTTTCCCCCAGCATCCAAAATCTTTTTAATAGCAAGGTAGGATCTAGGGTTGGTTTTTGTTTTGTAGTCACAGCTGGCCCTGGGCCTCTGGCACGCTGGCCCTTCCCGCCCTTGGATCCTACCTATGTTCGCAGGGTTCCGTGTGCCTTGGGGGTTCCCGGGGTCTCCTGAAATGCTGGCACCTCTGGGCCCTTGCAAGATCCTGAGAGCAGGACGGTCCATGGCACTGGGGGGAGTCGGGGGCCAGCTGGTCGAAGGTGAGGATCTTGCCTCCAGCCTTGCGGCTCCTGCGCTGCTCTTCCCATGAAGTGCAGGCACCCTCAGTTTGGGCGCCTCCTGGACAAGCACCTCGTCAGTTGTAGTCTCTGCAACCACAGCAGCGTTGCCCTCCCAGCCAGGAAGCTTCATCTTCTGATCCTCTGGGGAAAGGACAGAGGCAGCAGGTTGGTACGACTCATGCACAACCTTTTTTTAAAAAAATATATTTTATTGAGTTTTTACAGAGAGGAAGGGAGAGAGATAGAGAGTCAGAAACATTGATGAGAGAGAAACATCGATCAGCCGCCTCCTGCACATCCCCCACTGGGGACGCACCCGCAACCCAGGTACATGCCCTTGACTGGAATTGAACCTGGGACCTTTCAGTCCGCAGGCCGACGCTCTATGCACTGAGCTAAACCAGTTTCGGCCATGTACAACCTTTTGAAAGGTGGAGTTGGTTCGTTGGCCAGAAACCTGCACAGCTTGGCCAAGGCCTCAGATAGATGCCCTGGCTCTTGGGAAACTTGCATGAACCTTTCGCTCTTCGTTGTGGCAGTTGCAACCCCATGATGGTGCCTCTGCTCCACCAGGTCTGGGAAGAGCTGGACCTATACTTTCAAAAGAAAACTTTATATGGTTCCTACATGGATAACGTAAGTCTAATCATGCAAGGGTTAACATAGGCTCCGACTGCTGTCCTTAGAGAGGCCTGTTCCCAAGGCTGGCCCGTGGCTGGTGTGTGGGAACTTGGCCAGTAAACAGCCCCCCACACTGATAGGTAACGTTTCCTAAATGACAAGGGTAGCTCGCTGTG